AATTTTATTTAGCCCCAGTTCTCCAGTCTCAATTTGTTCTAGTTGCTTTTGCTTCTGCACCAAATCTTCATTCAGTTTAGGAATTTCTTGTAATGATGTCTTTTGATTAGATTCCACTAAAAAAAAAAAAAAGAAAAAAAAATTAAATTATTTTTTAAAAGTCCAGGAAAACAACACTGCAAGGCAGAAAACAAATTACAAGCAGCAGTATCTACAGCAGTGAAAGAAGGCAACAACAGTTTCTAGATATGGGTTTACTGCCAATTCAGAATTAAGTGTTTGTTCAGAATCACAGCTTTTTTTTTTTTTTTTTTAAGAGTACTAACATCTGCAGAGAGAACACATAGGGATCATACTAAATTCAACACTTCGCAATAGTACTGTCACTCTGGCAAGCCTCAGCAGGTCTTTATTTAGTGCAGTTATTTTGCATTACTTTCACACAGGAACATGAAATAGTAATGGGACTGTGAATAAGAACTGCCAACAGTACCAGGGCAAAGGAAGCACATGAAATGAAACTCAGTGCCCTTTTCAAGCTTGCAAAGGGGCAGCTGACTATGAAGTGAATTCCAAAGAGATTAATGTGATTACAGTTGTTCCATGTGACAGAAAGACAACTGAAAAAAAAATGTGTAAGTTTACCCACTAATGTCTGTTGGTAAACAAATCAGTAAACAAGGTCCTTGGAAATAAAGGCAGTTATTACTGCAATTAATACTACAGGAAGAGGGAAACATGCAACTCAAACCAATTCAAGTGAGCCTCAGAAATGCAGCTCTTCAGGTCTGCAGTGACTAAGCTGTTTAGCTGCAAGGGCTATTAGGCAATCCTAAATCCCTAGGTCTGGGAAACAAATAAGCAAAGGTTTTGAGATGGAGATGAGAGAGTTCTCCAAAACCTGCACCTCCACCCTGTAACGTGGCAGCACGGGAACGCTCCACAACAAACTGCCATCGTTCAGACCAGACTGCCAAGAGCAGTGGGGCCTATGTGGTATGTAACTGGCAGCTCCCTGAACAAACTTCCATGTGTAATCCATCCGGTCAGAAGGGGAAGCCTTCAGGAGTGCTTCATGCCCGTGGAGTGGATGCCCACATAACTGGAAAGCCATGCCTCTTCAAAAACTTGCTTCACTTTTCTTGAAGCAAATACTAAAAGTAATTTCTAGGTACAGAGTAATCTGCATTATCACCCAAGATCTAAATAACATATTTGGTTAAGACAGACTTTGAGAGGTATATTTTAGCCAAAACAGGATGAGAGCTAATTGTGCATTTGACACAAGCAGTTCACACTGAATCTGATGTTTCAGAAGCTCCTGTGTAGAGAAGTTACTCTGTTTTGCCACTCTCACTGTGTACAATGAGACTCCAGAGATTTTTGCAGTGCTAGGAAGGTTAAGTACTATGTGCATTCCTACCATCATTACTAAACCGAAGGGAAACACCACAATGACTTCCCCCTATCCTACACATACTAGATGCAAAGACGTGTTATTTTTAAAAAGCACTCATGCCGTACTCAGCTTGTTCAAAGGATGGCAGAACATTAACAAATACTGCCACGGGCATCTGCTCTTATAGGGACAAAATCTGGATGAAGATTCAGAGGAGGAAGGTTCTTTTTTCCAAACTTGCTGTAGGACAGATGGATCCTGTGTCTTTGTTTCTTCATCTACCCACACATCTCACCAAAGCATAATATTACCTTTTGGAATCAGGTTATTCTTGCTGTCTGCTTTGTTGTCGTTTTTAATGCTGTGCCCCATTATGAGACTCCCAATCAGCTTCTAGGTATGCTATTACAGTGGTAAGGAAATCTGAGACTATTTTATCACTGGACAAAGTATTAAATGCACAGCTTTTCTATCAGAGCTATTCGGGAGAAAAGAAGCATATCTGTAATTGCCAGACAGTAAGCGCAGAAAGAACAACTGCTTTAACAAAGAGGTCTGTATAGAACAGGAATGATGAAACTTATCTATACCAAAGCCAATAAATGTTGTCATCATGCAAAACTCCTACTGCCCGTACGTAGGTAAAGGAGGAGACCAGTACACAAAGAGTGGCAGTCAGCTTACCCAGGACACAGAAACAGATACTGCAGAGTTGTTGGGTACGCTTACAGCCACCAAACAGCACCTGTAACCAAAGGCATCCTCCCTAACTGATGGACACCAGTTACAGATAACTTTCAGAGTTCAGTATCAGTTAATATAAAAGCACATCTATCATCAACACTTTCTCTCGCTCCTAGTCAGTCAGCAGGTTACACCTTGGCAGACAACTCCCCACCTCACAGCAGTTACACACTTGAACAGGAAGCCCTGAACACCAACAGCAAGTAATTCCTACACACATTTCCTCAATATGTCTTTTACCACAAGCAAATCAAGCCCTTAGCTTACCTCCAGCCCTAGCTGCCTCCTAATTTTGAAACTGATTTTACCAGTGTTATTTTTAAGGTCATCCCCATGTTCTGGGCACAAAAACTCAAAGATGAAGACCAAAGCTATGCGATAAAACCCACAGTCAACAGCTGTGCTCCTCAGGCAAAATATACCTAGCCTTCCTGAAGCAGCTAGAGACTACCTGAACGCTTAAGCTTCACTCTCTTCTGGTCCATTCACAGAGCTCCTCAGCTTATCTTTGCGTTTTTTCAATATATAAGATTTTGAAAACTACTAAAATAAGGCACCAAAATATGTCTTGTGTCCAGAGGTGAGGTATAGCAAACAGAGAGCATGCATTACATGTAAATCTCACCATTTGTTATACCTCAGCACTGCAGATGTTCTAATACTGAAATCTTACATGGACAAAGAAAACCTGAGACCTACAAGCAAAATGCTTCACATTAACTCTATACTTCAAAGTATTAAACATGACCTAATTCCATACCATATGCAACATGACATAAAAGTTGAACAAGGACAGGTCAATGCAAGCAAGATAAACATTTAGAGGATGCAAAGAAAAAACATAACATCAAAGCAACATTCATATTGCAATAATGCCAGCGCAAGTATTAGAGGTTTTTAAAAGAGCTCAAGAAAAAATTAATGGAAAACCATGTTCTTGTAAGGGATGTATAAAAATCCCTTAGACTGCTTTTATGGGGCTGATCAGAACTTTTTATTTTTAATTAGGGAAAAGAGCACTCCCGAGACCAAAGTCAGGAATTTCAGAAATGTATGTACAAGCAACTGCAGACCCACCTAGTTCAGTGTCCCTGCTCCTCAGAAGATATAGAGCAGGCAAGAATATATAACATTTGCCTTAAATTTACCCAGCCTGCAAGTGTTTTTGGCTCAGAGGACTCCTCAATTCAGGGGCAGTTTGTCTAGTCAGTACTTTTAGAGTTTGAATAAGCAGGTAGGCAACTAAGCCTCTTCATACTGACCAAAGCAAATGTGACACAGTGCAATTATACTTATACTTACTGGTTCGAAACTTCTCCTTTATTGCATCCAAATCCTCCTTGAGAGCCACCTGCATCCACACCAAGCCAACGCACGCTACCACACAAGCGGCAAGAATGACAAATGCACATAATGGGTAACAGAACTTGCAGCATCGTAGATAGTCTCCTCTGGATAAAACAAAAATAAACCACTGAATATTCAACAGTACCTAGGAAAGTTTTATTTAAAATACTATTCTATCAAAGTAGGGGACAGCACTAGACCAGCACATGCTTTGACTGCCAGGAACTAACAAACAGCTTTTCCAAGAATAAATAAGGCTACACAGTGATATCAGGGCTATTACTCTGTTCAGTTTATGCTCAGGAGGCACATCTAGCATATTTAAGAGCAGCTGTCAGGTTTCCCTTAGTCCCCTTTCCCTCTGCTCACATAAACTTATGTTCAGAACATCTGCTTGATAGCTTGGAAAGCAGGCTTCAAGAAAGGGTATTACCATAATGTTTAATCCTAAACTGCAAAAGCCTGTATTTCTCTGTGATGTGCCTACTTTCATTCTTAGAGGCTGGTTAACAATGCTGTTACTTAAGCGAAAAGTTTATTTATTGGCAAAAGCACGTCATGTCCATGAGAAAACCAGCGCTGCGCCAGCTCACAGACACAGGACTGTGCCATGCTGAACACACACGGGCAACTGTGCTCAACGTTTCAAGCAACTGCTCCCCAGCTGCTCTAAGGACTTCAGTTACAGTGAGCATAAAACAGGAAAAAAAAAAAAACAACAAAAAACAAACAACAAAACAAACAAACAAAACCAAACAAACAAACAAAAAAAAACAACAAAACCAAAAACAAAAAGGAAAAAGCCAGAGGATGGTTCAGCCCTACTCCCACCCCCTGCCAGGCGACCTGCTGGGCCAGACACACTCCGCGGGTCCTTTCTGGCCGCCCTCAGCGCCCCACGACCCCCCCGCGACCGCGGCGCGGCCCCGCTGACGGGCACGCAGCCGCCGCCAGCCCCGCCGCGCAGCCCGGCGCTGAGGCGAGGGGCTGCCGAGCCCCGGGCGGGACCGGGCCGGGCCGGGCCGGGCCGGGGACGCCGCGGCAGCCCCGGAGACTCACTTGCCGCAGCGTCCCCGCGTCCCCGCGAACTCGTCCTCCTCGGAGCTGGACTCGGAGTCGGAGGCGGGCGGCTCGGTGCGCAGCAGCCGGTGGCCCGAGCCCTTCTTGGCAGGCTTCTTCCTGCGGCCGTCGGCGGCCAGGCCGATGAGAGCGTTCAGCTCCTTCCGCTTCTTCATCCTCTTGTGGGGCGGCAGCGGCGGCGCGGCCGGCGGCTGGCTCCCGCCTCCCCCCTCCTCCTCCTCCTCCGCCGCCTCCTCCGCCGCTGCCGCCGCCGCCAGCGCGCCCCGGCTCGCCAGCCCGCGGCCCGGCCGCGGCTACAGGCGCTCCGCGGGGCCGCTGCTCCCCCGCCGGCCCCGCGGCGGCACACCCGGCCCCGCCGCCTCCGCCACCCGCCCCGCCCGCGCCATGGCAGCTCCCGGCCCCGCCGCCTCCCACCTGCCAGCAAGCCACGTTCCCATTGGGCGGCGCGGGGCCGCCCCCGCTCGGGCCGCAAAGGCCCGGGAGCGCCCTCCACGGCGGCCGGCAAGCGGGCGGGGGGAACCGCGGGTTCGAGCCCCGCCCCCGGCGGGTGGGACGAGCGGGGAAGGAGGGGGCCCGGCCGGTGCCTCCCCCCGCGGGTCCCCTCGCCCGCCGGGCTCGGCGGGGACCCTTCTTCCCAGAGAGAACGGTGGCGAGGAAGCGGTGCGGCCTGGCAGCCCGCCTGCCTCCTGCCCGCCCCAAAGCTGCTCCGCAGCTGCCGCGTTAGCCAGCCCCCGCTCGGCTGACCCGGCACCGCAAAACCAGCCCGGTGCGGGATTCCCCGCGCTCACTGCGGTGGAGATCGTGTCCCGGACGTTTTAAAGATGCGGCTTTAAAATGACAGCTCGCTCAGGGGGGGCGGCGGCAGGGAGGGAAGGAGCTGGCGGCTGGGATGCCGGGACGGGAATGGATGGAGAGATGAGGGTGAAACCTTGGGAGGCAGGAAAATGCGATGAAGACCTCGGGGCGGAGGAGGAAGCCCAGAGTATGCCTGTCTTCTTCAGGCTTGCACGCACTAAAAGCCTAAAGACCTGCATGTAAAGGAGCGCTATTCCCCAATGCCGACTTTCCACGCCCTGTGGGATGGTTGTTACACACACCCACTCAGCCAGGCTCTTTTTCTTTCTTTCTTTTTTTCTTTCTTTTTTTCTTCCCTAAAAGCCCCGATCACGCTCGGTCTTTGCAGCTTTCCCGGGTGGCGGTGCACAGGCCGGCAGGGCGGGGAGGGGGGAGGCTGTGAGCAGCCTGACAGCTCTTTCCCTCCCTCCTCATCCTCATCCCCGCCGGCGCCCGCGGCCTTGGGGTGGAAGCGGCCGCCGGCAGCAGGGGAGGAAGGGCGAGCAACAACAACAGCTCGGAGCTCACTTCGCGGGCAAGCGGTGCCGCTCCCCGGGTCCCCGCGGGCTGCTTTCTTCCCAACAAGCCCTGCCGTGATTTGGCAGCCGCTCGGCCTCCCCACCTACCTCTCCGCCCTGCATTGGCTGCGTGTCCCCGGGCGGGGACAGCGGCCTCCGCCCGAGCCAGCCGGGAGCGGCGGGCGGCCGGGCGCTGCCTTCCCCGGGAGGGATGAAGCTCTCCTGGCTGGGCGTCGATGTCTCCCGGGTGCTGCACTTGGCTGCCGTTTTCTGCCTGACCTGCGTGCTGCTGAAGGCCATCCAGCTGTACCACCGGCGGCGGGAGCTGCTCAGGGCGCTGGCCGACTTCCCCGGCCACCCGACCCACTGGCTCTTCGGCCACGTCCACGAGGTAGGGCGAGAGCCGGGTCTGCGCTGCCGTGGGGTGGGGGGGAGGAGGGAGGGTGAGGATCAGTTTCCCCACGTCAGAGGGAATGATGCTGCCGGGAGTCATACCCGTGGTCCAGGAGAATTGCTTCTGCCAGTCCCAAGGGGATGGGAAAGGTGAGCATCCTTTTTTTTTTTTTTTTTTTTTTTTTTCCCTCAGCCGTGCAAACGGCTTTCTCTGCTCGTGATGCCCAGAGAACAGCACGCTCGGGCTGCTGCAGAATGCACGCTGGAAGGAGGTGGTAGCTGGCTTGCAAATAAAGAAAGCAATAATAGAACGTGGCGTGGGCAAGGTGTAACCTGGCACTGGTGCAGTAACCCAGCAGCCGTGCTGCTCCGTGCCGGGGCAGGCTCCGCTGTCACCTCTCGGCTCCAGTTTGCATCAGCTTCGTGACCAGGTGAGCCAGACAGGGCATTGATCATTTTGAGCCGTGTTTAAGCCACAGAATGCCCCAGGTTTAGCATCCGGCACAGGGGCCACAGGTCTTTTTAAGGCCACGACTAATTAAACTTGCATACATAAGCAAGCTTTGTTCTGGGCAGTCATGACATGGATGACTCTTCCCCAAGGTTCGTGCTTGCCCACACAGATCAGCGTGGCTGCCTTGACAAACAGATTTCCACATTTCTTTGGCAGCTTCCTGAGCTTCCATACATGCTAAAGGTTGCTTCAAATCGCCCTGAGCTCTCCTGTGCTCTGCTGATGCCCTGCACCAGCCAAATGTGGCATATTAAATAACTGGCATCCTGAAAAGTAGCTGGGAAATCTGGTGGGGACGTCCCAGGGCTTGACTGTGCCATGGCAGCCCCAGACAGGCAGTCTTTTGGCAACCTAAGCATGAAGATGGGCCAGTTCAGGGATTTGTTGCACTGCCAGTTAGACTTTAAAACTGCAGTTAAATAAAGTATGTTCGCCTGTTTGTCAGTTGTGACTATTTATCCTGGAGTAGGATTTAACCATTCGGGCCAATCACTTGCTCCCATTGTGGTTAGGTTGTTCATAGCTGGACTTTTACCTCAGGCAGTATTTTTTGAAGAGTTCCTGTTTTACAAATTTAGTAATTTGCTGATCAAATGGTGCTGAATTCACCAGAGCCCAACAGTTCACTGAGCCAGTGAGGAAACTGGCAGTGCTGAATACAAAGTTTACACTCACCTCAGAGGAAAACCTTAGAGCTGTATTCGGGAGGAGCACTGACATTTCCTATTCTGTTGATTTAAAGTGATTAATTGCCAGTTTTGAATCAGGTCAGTTTAGTACCTCAAATATATTTGTTACACTTTGAGTGGGTCTCCTGGGAATACATCACTTTGTTTTAAACATTCTTAGGTATTTGCCTCTGCTTATTCAAGTCACTTGGTAGAAATCACATTAATATCAGGGGAGGTTGTGTACAGCTTTTCAGTCTCGCTGCAGCAGCACGACTTAGTTCAAACACAAAGTGCCAGCCCCAAGCTGGCCAAAGCGGCCTCCCATGGCCATGGTTAGTGGGAATCAGAGGAGAGCAGGGTCGCTGCCCCGTGGGTGTTGGGGGCTGTCGGTCCCTCGGCAGCCCTTGGCCGGCATCTGCCCTATGCAGCGGCTGGTGGAGGGGAGCCAAGCCTGGTTCTGACTGAGCACAGCGCAACTTCATGCTCAGATTTCAGCTCCTGTGTTTTCTGTTTTGTGTGCTATCAGTGCATAGTCATTAAAAGCACCTTTAAGAGCCTCTTCCCAGAGGCTTTTAGTGTTGGATCCATTTAAAAACTTGCATTTCCTTAGATCCAAGCAGGGGTTATACTTTTCTTTTCAAGCTCCCAAGGCAGGAAGAAGTAGAAGTGATGGTCTTTCATGCAGAGCCTGGTAGCTGGAGCCCCTGTTAAGAAGCAGGAGCTTTCCATTCCTGTTCCTCCGCAGCCCGCAGAACTTTACACTGTCTGCCCAGGGAGTGCTTGGCACAGCAGGAAGAGGTTACTCACCTTGGGAGTAACCTCTCCTCTCAAATAAACCCATCCCACCCTCTGCCAGCATAGGGATGGTTCTTCATAGCATAAACCCGGGCTGGCACTCCAAAAACAAGGTTGAATGCAAAGGCTTCTAGCATTAGGACTTCTGCCAGCGAGGCTTACTCAGCATCTCCTAATTACTTCCATTTATGCTTTCTGCGATTTTGTGACGGGAGGAAGCACAAGCAGACATATCAAAGGGCTTTTGCGTGTTCAAGTGTCACTCACCTAAAGGCACCAAGCCAAGCCCTGCTTCTTCTGGCATTGTTGAAGGGGTGGGTGCTGGAAGGGCTGTGTCCTTTTACCCCAAAACTTGGTCCTTGCAACCAGAGAAATTTATGGTTCTCTTTAATAAGTCCAAAATCTTGAACTTGAGCAAGAGAAGTTGAACGGTAATTTTCTATCATTAATGATAACTGGATGTAGTTTGTCATTATGCCAAATGCAAGAGACACACGGGAGGTGCTGCAGGAACCCCCCCAGCTCACAAGGAAGGGGGCTCAGCCTCAGTGCACGGAGTGTGGCTGTGCCCCCACACAGCCTGTGCAGTCCCCTGGCAGATGCCCCACGGCTCCTGAGCATCCTCTCTGAGATAAGCCTGATGTGGGTGATTATTTGGGTACAAGCCATCTCATGGATTGAGAAACACTGACCAAACTAAAAGCTGAGCTGAGATAACTCAGCACCAAAGCGACTGAGCAAATATTCACTTGACTCAGTCAATAGAGTGACTCTGTGGCTGATTTCTACACTACTATGTAGATGTAATTGAACTTAAAGCTTCAAGTCAAAGCAGCAGCATCTATGTCAGCCCTACCTCACCAAAATCCTTTCCCCTGCATATTGTGGCAGAATAGTTTCTGTTCAAAGAAAAGAGAATTCTTATATGTTTTTGTTTCTGTGATCTTTTTTTCTCTGCCTGGGACTTTGGATCTTTCCACTGATCTTTCCACTTGTTCTTTGGCTATTGCCTGTTTAATATACAACACCGGCTATAAAAGCAATAAAACTGTGATTACTTTTGAAGAGTGAACCCACCAGTGTCACTAATACAAACACCGGTGCTCACGTAACTCTTCCGTGTGCGGCTTCCAAGGACTGGAGATGAACCTTTCTGGGAGCACCAGCTCTTCATCACTCATTAAATTAAATTCCTAAAAATCAATGAAATCTTAATCTGATGTTATTAACCAGTCTCCCCTGCTCTGTACACTCCGTTGGTGACTTTGGACTCATTCTGTTGAATTTTACCTGGACACTGGCCTTTTCCACCTAAATGGTTGGAGGAAGCTGTGGCCCAGGTTTCCCGGTCAGGAGGCATCATTACACCAGGGCAGACACAGCAGCGATGCTGTTGGCTGCTGTAAAAATGTTGCTGTATTTTCTCACAGCTGCAGGGTGCTAACTGCTCAGCCATGTGCAAGTGAGAACATATTTGCATGTCACAAAATGCAGATGCTGTCTGGGGCAAATCTGAGTCTTCTTTGGGGTGGCTATGGAAAAAGAGCAGAAAATGTATGTACATGATAGGCACCACCACTGTCCCTAAGAACATTCTCCATGGTTAGGGTCAATTGATAAGGAAGAATTATTTTATATGAGGTTTAAATGTAACAAGCATCTCTACTTCTGATACTCTGAAAACCCAGAGGGACAATACCTTATTTGCCATTACCTGGTTTTGTGATACAGAAAGACTTTGAGACTTTTAAGACAGTGGTTTGGAAGATTTTTTTTTTTTTCTCTGAATCTAAGTGTTCTTTCTCCTTTTACTTCCCCACAACTACAGTTTCTCAAGGAGGAAGAGGTGCTGGACAAGGTGGAGATCTGGGCACAGAAATACTTACATGCTCACCCTGTCTGGTTCGGGAGTTTCTTAGCATTCCTGGTTGTCACTGATCCTGACTATGCCAAGGCTCTGTTGGCCAGAGGAGGTGAGAAGATGATGCTTTCAGCTGTGGAGCAATGACCATAGCCCTGCAGATTTCCCATGCCAGCCTAAAAATTCACAGCAAGGGAGGGTTTCACAGAGATGGTGTCTTGCAGAAATCATCTAAAAGCATGGAGAGATACCACTCCTTTGTGCCATGCCTTTGGTGCATCAGGCACAGGGCTGTGAGGGTGACGGGAACCTTCCAAATCTGGCAAATCAAACTTCCTCAAGTGCTCCTTGAAAAGTTATCTTCTCAGTGCCTGACCCCAGCAAGGAGAAGACAGCTGGAAGCTTTTTTCTAAGATCAGAACCCTGGCTCCTACTGTGGAGCTTTATTTTTAGTGCATCCAGAAAGAAAGATGCTAAACAGTGCTGTCTGGGTGGGTTAATAATTTATCCAGACTTTGGACTACCAATACTCTTGTTTATTGCAATCTGGGCATCTGCTTTTATATGTGTTTTTTGTAAATAGGCCAAAGGCCTAAATGTTTTGTTGTGAAATACTGATGAATTCTGCAGGGGTGCCACTGCTTCTGCTTCATACCCAACCAAAAGTGAGAGTCCAGAGGGACCTTTCAGGTGAAAACCAGTGGGTTAATGCTACTGAAACATGTACCATTTTATTTTCTCTTTCTTGATGATTTTTTACAGATCCCAAGGATAACATCAGCTATAAACACCTTGTCCCCTGGATCGGTATGTATTCCTGGGGCTTTGCCTACCAGGAATGATTCTGAAGTTAGTCAAGAACATGCTATAAATAAACAGCATTGTGCTTGTTCCTTGATGCAGTTATAGCTAAAAGCTTCATGAAATTAATACATTTTTTGAAAAAGATATTAAATAATGCCATTTTTTGTGATTCAGAGGCACAAAGTTCAGATATAGTCATATGTACAAATGAGAACCACTTACATGTCCATAGAGAGCAAAGGGTGGTGGTGGGAGAAGCTCAGATTCGGTGGAGGACCAGTGAAAAATGCACCTGCTGATCTGAAGCTCTCAGCTCCAGCAGTGTTGGTTGTTTCTTTATGGAGGCAGTGCTGTGTCATTTTTGTGAGCAGGGCTCTGCTTGGCCCTGGGAACCCTGGAGCTGATGACAACATTTGGAAATACTCTCTTGTAGCAGCTCAGACAGCAGATTTAATCATGCTCCTTGCAGGTGGAGGCTGTGTCCACAGGCAGGTGAAAGCAGCCTGCTTATGTCCAGCAAAATATGCCTTGCCTGTGTTTCCCCAGGGAATGGGTTGCTGATCTTACATGGACCAAAATGGCACCAACATCGAAAACTCCTGACTCCAGGGTTTCATTACGACATCTTGAAACCGTACGTGGCTCTGATGGCAGAGTCTACTAACGTGATGCTGGTAGGACTCATATCTGATGCTCCTCTCTCTGCCCTCTTTTTTTCTCCTGATCCTGACTGTTTAGTAGATAAATGCTGGAGCAGGGTTTTCTTGCAGTGTCCTTACTCACAACCTGGTAATTGTAAGGACAGGCTGTGTCCCGGCAGTCAATCTTTCTGAGCCACCACAAATCCCTGCCCATGAGTTTCCTGCAGGGACTATGTCTCTGGTACTGCTTTGGGCTCTAGGGCTAAGATTAGAGGATTAATGTCACTGCCATCCCCAAACTGTGCATAATCTCAATCCCATCTGCAACTTCTTATAAATTGTTTTTGTAAGTGAATAACTGAAGTAAATAAAGGTTCATAACAAATCCCAAAAATATAAAGATTGGAGCAGAGCTATGCTGTGACCTAAGGTTAAAGAGTATCATTTGCTGTCAACATACCCGTGACTGGATTGCAATCTCTGCCTTGGATAATACACAGTGAAACTGCACTGCTCTTCCATCCATTGGTTCTGGGCACGATGGACACCAGTATGAATTGCAAGTGAGGGGCACCAGTCTTTGTGCATGTGGACCAGCAGGAGTCTGGGTGCTGGACCTATTCCTTCTCCTTTGCCTCCCTCCATCCAAACTCCCCAGCACCTCCACATGGATCCTGGCTCTCCTCCCTCCTTCCAGCCCAGAGAGCAGCCAGGAGCCAGGGGCTGGAGAGCCAGGAGAACTTTTGCAATGCACACAAGTGCCTGGCAGTTTATAATTCCTTGCAGACAATGCAAAGTGCCTATTGTAGGAGCCCATGCCACCAGGTGGCAATCGTTGCATGTGCTAAGGACATATGTCTGTCCACATAATCCCTGTTCCCCAGCCTGGTTTCGTGCTGTGGGAGATCAGACGTGACTGTATTCCTCCACCTCCTCCCCTTCTCAGCTTTTGAGACCACCGGTACCTTACAGCCATGAAGGGACAGAGGATTCAACATCATTTCATGTCTGCTGGGCAAGAGAGATACTGTTTATATTTTCTGTAAAGATCCCCTATAGGAAGAGTTGAGCAAGAGCTCCTATATTATATGCTGGAAAAGCACAGCAGCAGAGAGATCATGAGATGGAGGAAAAGCCTTGATCAGAAGTTTGCATCTTAGGCACCAAACTCATATGTACTTGAGAACAGACTCGGTGAAGTCCAATGCTGACATATGCTGCTCTTGTGCAGGAGAGACACTGCACTGTAAGAAAGACTTGGATAACATGCCCCATCACCCAGCTATGCACCCATCCTGGGCTTCTCCAGGGTGCCTTTGCCCCAGGGTAAGATGTACCAGGGCTCACGGATGCCAGGATTCAAGAGTAGCAGCTGCCTGAGGCAAATCTTGTATTAACCATCCTGCTCTTGGCTTCCCTTCTCTGAGATTTTGACAGCAACTAAGAGATCCTCTGCTTTTTTTCCATTTCTCTGGGACGTATCCCTAGCTGAGCAGTCATTCAATCAGGGAATGATGCTAAATCACGCAGAACTGTCCCTTCCCTTCTCATTTCTTTCTCCTTTGTGCTCTAGGATAAATGGGAGCAGTTGATCACAGACGGGAAACCGGTGGAGCTCTTTGAGCACATCAGCTTGATGACTCTTGATAACATAATGAAATGTGCCTTCAGTTGTCACAGCAACTGCCAGACCAACAGGTCAGTGCTGGCTGCCCCCAGACCCTGGCAGAAAGTTTGCAGCTCAGAAGGGAAATGGGCAAATCGCTTGTTGCGATGCTCCCAAATTTACAAACTTCCACCATTCCCCTCTGCCCAGGAGAAACACCTACATCCAGGCTGTCTACAACCTGTGCCACATGGTGCACCAGCGCCTCCGCATCTTCCCCTACCACAATGACATCATTTACTGGCTCAGTCCCCACGGATATCAGTTCAGGAAGGTCTGCCAGCTCGCTCACGACCACACAGGTATTCCCTGCCTTCATCCTCTCACAAAGCTTTCATGCAGAGTGCGTGATGGCTGACCAGAGGCACTCGAGTTACCCCCTTGCCCATGCAGCGATCCTGCCCGGAGGCTCGGAGCTGCAATCCAAGCAGAGCATCAGCTTGCAGCAGTGGTCTGATCTAGGCATGAAGCAAGGGGGTCTCACAGATCCTGTGTTACTAAACTGGACCAACGGAGGAATTCCCCTCTGGGAAGACTCCTGTTAAAGGACCAGAGGCTGGTCAGACAAGGGATGGGTGCTGTAGACAACACCGATACAAGGAATGATTTTCCTTTCCAGTGATTTTAATGCAGGAGGGGTGGATAAAATAGACAGAGGAGTCTGTGGTGGACAAAGAAGTTTACAGAAAAGGATGACAACGTGCATGGCATTTGTTGCTGTGCTGCTGAAAAGGGCAAACTGCCTGGGATGCAGAAGCACACATCAAATGCATCATAGACTGAGCAGTGGTCACCCCCCTGGGTGAGCTTTGCATTCACAGGGTGATATTGCAGCTCAGCATCTGCCTCTGCTGAACCTTCAACTCTTTCTTCCCCAGATAAGGTAATACAGGAGCGAAAGGAGTCCCTTAAAGATGAACAGGAATTTGAAAAGATCCAGAAGAAGAGACATTTGGACTTCTTGGACATTCTGCTGTGTGCCAAAGTAAGTGGCGAGGAGCGGGTGTGCAGCAGGGCAGCAGGGTGCAAAAGCCAGTCAGTCTTTGCAGGGGTGCCACAAACTACCAGAGACCCTTAGGACTGCACAAGCCATTATAATAAATTAGCCCAGTCCTGCCCAGTTGAGGAGAAGCCAAGGTGATACAATTTTCCATCAAATGTTGGTAGCATCTGCTGGGGAATACAACATGCAGAGGGATTTCACAGTCCTGATAGCTTAATATGGGGGGGGTAACAGGATTTATAAGTGAAGGAAAAGGGGCCCTGAAGTCAGTCTAAACAGAGATTGATTTTGTTTATATGTATCCCAGGGTCATCACCACTCTACTTTGCAATAGCTGAAAGAATATAACGGTTCCTCCTGGTATATTATATTATATATGTATGGGCCACTATGATATATACATCATCTATATTATCTGTATTATCTATATTATATATGTTATTTATATTATAATATTGGGTTTTTTATACATGGGCCATTGAAACTGTCTCTGGACTGTTAGGATGAGAACGGAGCTGGACTGTCCGATGAGGACCTGCGTGCTGAGGTGGACACGTTCATGTTTGAGGGCCACGATACGACAGCCAGCGGGATCTCCTGGCTCTTGTACTGCCTGGCATCACACCCCGAGCATCAGGCACGGTGCCGGGAGGAAATCCAGGGGATCCTGGGACACCGGGAGACACTTCAGTGGTAAGGCTGCACATCTCCTCACCTGGTAACTTTTTTCCCATCGCTGCCATTTCTAAGTGAGCAATGTCTTCAGGGTTTGAAAGCTGGGGTGCTAAAGGTTGCTGCATGCACAGGGACTTCATAGGATGGAGCAGATATGGCATCCTTCAGCTAAATCTACTTCTCTGCCCTTCAGAGCTTCAGGGCTCATATTACCAGGGCAGACACAGGACAAACCAGCCCAGACCAGGAGGGACATGCTGGATGCCATGCCAAGACCTGGGCCACCAATGTTGCTCTTTCCTCTGTCCTGCTTTCTTGCCACAGGGCGTTGTAGTCGTGGCTTTTCACCTTTCACCGTCACTGTCCACTTGAGCATGTTTAGATGTCATTAAGATTGTTCAGAGGTGTCCTGGGGTCCACAGCTTGCAGCAGCCTTTGGTTGGACATTGCGGGTCCCTCCGTACACCCCATCTGTTGCAAGGGGGGGTCTGCCCAGGGGGCTGATGGCTGTGGGGCAAGTGGTCCCCCAGCACAGGGCAGTGGGGGGAGCCTGGGGCTCAGCCTGCCTCTGTCCCGGCAGGGAGGACCTGGGCAAGATGACTTACAGCACCATGTGCATCAGGGAGAGCCTTCGCCTTTACCCACCAGTGCCCGGCGTATCCCGGCAGCTCAGCAAACCCATCACCTTCCCCGATGGACGCACCTTGCCAGAAGGTCTGTAAATCCTATTCCCACTTCACAAAACTGTGTTCTCAGACATCAGCCGCATCCTCGCTGCCTGCCACAGAACAGAGGTGACAGCCCTGCCTCTGTGACCTGCTCCTTGCCAGCACAGATGTTCACGTAGGATTGTGCAGATGTTGGTGTCCCGTTGATAGACTGATGTCTGGACTGTACAGCAGCATCCCCATGACATCCTTCCTGCCACCATCGCTGTGGGGCAGCCATGCCATTGCCAAAAGCCCCTTCTCTTCCTGGCCAAGCACAAGTTCATGGTTCACCCATTTTGGCAAACTGGAGACACAGGGGGACAGGGACTGGTCCCATCCCAACTTGTGGCATGCAAATTGCCCTGTGCTGCTGCTTTCCTTCTCTGGTTTGGCACAGAAGCAGGTAATGTTGTTGGGGGGACCTTGAGCCTACGGTGCCGGTGCCTTCCTTATTTCCACTGTTTGGCTGCTTACAACTAAACAAGTGGAAAATGTTTAGGTTTCTCTGAAACCAGTGACAAAACCCTCATGGGTTTCCAGTTGACAGAGAAGACCATGGTGCTTTAAACAGACCTTTGTGTGAACACACAACAAGCTTTCCTTTAGTTTCTTTGTCACTGACCCCTGTTCTCCTTGACTGCTTTACAGGCAGCATCGCTGCGATAAGCATTTATCTCATTCACAGAAACCCTGCAGTATGGAAAGACCCTTTGGTGAGTTCTTTTGCCCTTCTAGTAATTTTTCCCCTTTATGCTGTGTCTCTTCCAATGTCCCCCTCACCTGTTAGCAGGGGAGCAGAGCCCTGCCCTTGCTCCTGAACATCTTTGCCTATGGGAATCACACTGAGAAGCGACCGCTCTGCATTAGTCTCAACTAGCTGCAGCACAGGGTGGTCAGACAGCAGCGTTACGGCTGGGTGCTGCCCAAACAGTCAGACAAAGTGCTTTGAAGAGCTTGTATTAACCAGCAAAAAAATTATTTTTTGCTCTGTCTCCACACAGAAAATTGAACCCTGGCTCCCTGGTTTTCAGCATATCTATGTCTGGTTTATCTTGGCAACACCATTGCCAGGCTCAGTGGAAAGCAAGGGAGTCTGATGTATGAGTTTCAGTCCATCTCAGAATTAATCTCTCTCCAATGCAATTGTTCAGAAATTATGGCGTGTCACATTTCTGAAGGTAGGGGTTAGTACTGTGTTCCTTAAATAATCACTTTTTCTTGCTGTGTATTCTTCATTTCCAGGTGTTTGACCCTTTGCGGTTTTCACCGGAGAACATCTCTGGCAGACACTCTCACGCCTTTCTGCCTTTTTCTGCTGGAATGAGGTAAAGTGTATTGAACGCTGAAGGATTAGTTCACAGAGAAAACATGCATCCCTGGAAACTGGGAGCCTGAAAAGTGTGTGCTGCTGTTACAACTGCTGTCAGGGAAGCACTGACAGAGTGCTTTCAGAGACCACCACCTGAAGTCCTGGCCCTGCAGCGTTAAACAGTTCACAAACATGTAACAAGTGTTTGTGCTGCAGAGGGCTTCTGATACCAGCAGGCAAAATGGGAAGGAAACATTGCTGGCCTCCTCCTGGGGACAGGGAACTGGGTCCTAAAACTGTGGACTACCTTGCTGGCATCATGCAAGGAGCCTGCAGCATCCCGGGCTTACCTGCTCTCCTCGCCTCCTTGATGGAGAGACCCCATCCCACACACCCCCCCACTTTGATTCCCCCTTCTCCCCCACCCCCAGTTCTGCCCTTCACCCTCTGCTCACCCCACCAAGGCAAAAATGTTGCAGACCCTCCTGCTTGGAGACTCACCACCTCTGCTCTGCTGGCGTCTCCTTTGGCTTCCTTCTCTCGCCTCCCTCCCAGTGCTCATTGAACACACATTCAGGAGCTCCCAATGCTCCCCCAGGTTCCCTTTGCTCAGCCCATCCCCCTGCTTTTGCTACCCAAAACACTGCCTGGGGTCCCCCAGAGCTGCAGAGGGGAAGGGCTGTGTGCTGGTGTGAGGGAGCTGGGAGCTGGATGCGGGGGTTTGTTGAGCCCAGCACAGAGATGGAGTGGCTGAGTTGCTCTGTTTTACCCCAGGAACTGCATCGGGCAGCAGTTCGCCATGAACGAGATGAAGGTGGCACTGGCCTTGACTCTGCTCCGCTTTGAGCTCTCGCCTGACCCTGCCAAGCCTCCCTGCAAAATACCTCAGATCATCCTTCGCTCCAAGAATGGGATTCACCTGTATCTAAAAAAAATCCACTGATGCTGGAAAACATCCTGCCTTCGCCAGATGGAGGGACCAAGCAGATGACAGAACAATGTTTCTCTGGGGAAAAAGGTGCAGGGCAGGATTTGAGGATAAGAATTCCTGATTTCTGTGCTTCTTCCACTAACTGAAAGCCCTTTTTGGCCTGGGCCTGGGTAGTCTAGACAGCACTGCACAGACCCACTGCCATCTGCTCCGTGAGCACCGATCTCAGAGCAGCCAGGCATGGCCATGCCTATTTGCTGACTGTCCCCTTGCTCTGCCGTAAGGGCTGGCCTGGCCTGGGAACACCTGCAGGTCCCACCAGCTTCCTTCTTACTAAATCCTGCCTTTGCACACAAGTTCTGGCCGAGACCGTGACCATTGCCAGTCCTGTTCTGTTATCATCACCTTCCTCAGTGCCTAGAGGTCAGCCCTCCTCTCCCGCAGCAGGGTCAGCCCGTGGCAGACCTCTGTCTTTCTTCTCACACTCAGTGTGTCTCTGTTTAGTTGTAAGCACTGATTCCAGTTTGGGCTCTGAAATTCTGCCTAAACTGCAAAATATTCTGTAATTTTTGTGTCAGTAAACCAATAATTATTCCTGTAACAGCAGCTGTGTCAGTTTTTATTGCTGATGCTTTCCCACTTCATCACAAATACAGTGTAAAACCCCTTTAGAAATGGGAGATGGAGAGGAAACCCATGAGCAGCAAGAGACAACCCTGGGGGTGTCTGGCCAGACCCCTGTCTGCAGGTCTCCAGTTGCAGCCAACGCAGCATATCCTTCCATGGGCAACCCCTTAACGGGCGTCCAATGTGCAATCTTCATTTAAAGCTGCAAGAGAGGAGTTATTATCGCTAGAAAGGGGGTTTTTGCCTTTTTTTTTAATTATTATTATTTTCCTAAACTGATAGTTGTAAGAGTTGTGTGCCTGGGGCACACTGGAGGACACTAGCGAGCTGTCCTCTGCCTCTGCAGGAATCATTATCGGGGTAGAAAGTGTTAAGCTGGGAAATCCCAAATGCTGCTGTTGCAGTTAGTGTTGCGGTGATGTCGACTGCAGTCCTGACATCATGAGCAGGTTGCTGTGTGGTAAGACAGCTCTCATCTGCAGAGATAGGGCAGATAGCAGTGGGGGAAACAGCAGGACCATTTTGTGGGATATACTGTGATAGACTATCAACACCATGAGCCCAGTCACTGGCGAGTCCCATTAATGGAAGGTTATATCAGACATAAGGTTTTGCCCAATTTTAATTTTAAGTACAGAAAAGGTGCCCACAATAAATAACAGCAATAATACAAATATCTCCTGTCATCTCTTACTCTGATCATATTACCAACTCACTGCAAACCACACCAAAAGCGTCCTCAGAACAGCTGTACTTGAGAAGCTGCAAAAACCAGGCCAGTATATTGTGCAAACAGGGTCGCCCGTGCACCTACTCTGCCACATCACCCGTACCTCCTCTAACCACATCTGTATCCATAGTTACCTCAGAGCCCTCCACAAACCCTTCTTGCGACCACTCCACTTACCTCTGTGCCAGCACATCCAGCTGCCATTGATAACACCTGCCAGCCGTGGGGTGCTCGCTTAGAAGGCACATCCATCAGCCAGCTTCACTTCTGATCTCCATACCTCACGGTGCTCCAGGCACCCAAGCCACAAATTAATTCCTCCTCCAACCAAAACCTCCAGGCTTCCCTGAAGCAATTGCTATGATTCAGTAATATCCCATTTCAGAAGAAATGGTAGAAGAAAGAAATCTCCTACACACATGGGTAAGACAAAGGACACAGCTGCACCACCCAGCTTCACCCTGAATTCAGTTACAACTTTGTTAAGCCTGGGTACACAAAAAATAGCAAAAGATTCCCACCCTGCCATGGTTTTGCATCCATAGCTTGCAAGGAGCAAAAGCTGGGTCACTCCATATCCCGGAATAAGTTAAAGGAAAGCAGTGATTTATCTCTTCCTGCTGAGGCTCTGGTGTGGGAGGAAAGAAGTAAATGCACCTGGCTTAAAGTTGCTCAGTCACAGCCTCTAGTGATATGGCAAGTAAAAGTTGATAAAAGCCAGTTTCTTCAGTTACGTTCAATCATATTTCGAGGTCACTTGGTAAAAGTTTATTGGGTAAAAGCTGCAAACTCACCTCACTTCTTCAGTTATGCTCAATCATATTTCAAGGTCTCTGGGTAAAAGTTCACTGGGTAAAAGTTGCAAACTCACCTCTCCTCGATTACTAAACTAGGGCTGTTCCAGCTACAGTGGCTGAGGAGATAAATACTGGGGTGATGCCAATATTCCCATGGAAACCCACAGTCGTTCTCATACATTGAACAGACCCAGCACGGTGGAGTTCAGCACAGCAGAGCCATGCAGAAACCCATCACAGCGACAGCAGGAGTGCTGTGCATGAAGCATGAAAGCTCTAGAAGGCACGAAAGCACTAGAAGGAATAACATAAAGCAAAGATTGCAAAAATGGCCTATGTCACTGACCAAGGACACAAGTGACAGCAGTAAAACTAGTGCAGGCAGAGGAAAGCTTTTATATCAAGGCAGGTGGCCCCTGTGCCGAGAAGGCCACGGGGCAGATGGCTCACCAGCAGACCTGTGCTCTGATGGTAGGAAGATGGAGCAAGATTGCATCTCCTTGTACTGGCTGTTCCTCTCCCTGCCTTTAGTTGATTGTGACCCTTTAACTTACAATTTCAAGTGAGACCTGAGCTATAGATTGCCACCTGGTGACCTGAGACAGTACAGAATGGTCAGGGAAGACAAGGTGCCAATCAAGTCCCTTTCCTCTCTTCTCCTGTGCTGAGACCTGAAGCAGTCAGTGATCAGACCACCACAGCCAGACACTGAATGAACGGAACTGGCTGCAAATGAAGCTGACCCTGGCTGTGTCCCACCAGGAACTTCTTTGCTCTTTATGCCCATGGGAAATGTACCCATTGGAACTATCTTTTCAGGGCCATGGAAATGCACAGACATCCCACAGGTGGGAACAGAAGCACATTACAAGTGCAATTTAAAATTCACACTTAGAGCTTGCAGAGGACAGAGGATTTAAAGGTAAAGAAAGGCTTAGTGTCACCAGCTATCTGGATTCAGTGCCTAAGTTTGATGTGCAGGGCTGTGCAGTGCGCAAGCCACCTAGGTGAGAGGACAGCCTTTAGCTGTTATCATCACCTTGAGAAAACATCTGGAGAGCATCTGCCAGACCAGGCAGTTCATGCACCCTCAGTGCCAGGAGCCATCGACAGTGCTGGAAGCATCTCCCAGCCTCGTCCCTCCTGCACACACCTTCATGAGTCTGTCCTGCTTATTGAGAGCACCACAGGTGCCTGGAAAGGGTTTGCAGGAAGACCTACTAATTTCTAGGCAAAAGACTTGAAAATCTGTGATATTGAATTGATAATTAAAAAAAATAATTATTTAAAAATAAATACTAATAAGTAAAAAATAATTAAAAAATAAAACTTCCATCAACTTCTCATGGAAGACCATGAATGGAGTTTGGGAAAGTGGGGAGCTCAGGGGCCAGCCTGAGCCATTAGGGTTACCCCACTTCCCTTAGGTGGTCTGGGTGGGTAAGAAGGGATTTCAGAATATGACAGATTATTTTATATGCTATATTGTCTGGCAAAAAAAGCACATGAGAGAACCAAGAATCAGACTTCAGTCTTACCCTATTACTATTTTCTGGGCTCAAAAGCAGAAGGGATTCAAAATGCCATTTCTCTTTTCAAACTTCTTGTTCCTTTGAATACCAAGACTTTCTGGAGGTAAAGTCTCCCAGGATGAAAATTTTTTTCTTAAGAAAAACTCAGAAACTTATTGAACCTCATATTGCAATCTGAATGATGATGCTACTCCCTTCCTTTGTAATGAATTCCACCAAAAGAACTAAAATGAGAAAGATATATTTTCAAAATATATTTAAACTTATGCATAAAGGCAGTCCTTGTCAAATGTCAGCTCAATCATCACACAGTCTTAGCGGTTGCCTTCATTTATATACATAAGGATCAAGACTCCAGAAAGCAAAATGAAAATAAGATTTCTCAGTAAATGTGCTTTTCCATGTGCTTCTTCGTCTCTATTTCCTGCCCTTCAGCAATGTTGGCTTTCTGTCTATGCCAGGAAAACTGAATCCCAGTTCAACTTATTTTCGCTTCCAAGCTAATCCAATTTATTTTGGCCTGAGCCAGCTCTTCTCAAAGAAGCAGGAACGTGAGCACGACGGTATGGCAGTTGCTTTGTGGGGGATGCTCACTGCGGCTGCAGCCGCTGCGCCGGGGCAGCCCGGGCGAACGCCCGCTCATTCCAGCTGCCTCTCCCCTCTTCAGACACGAGGTGCAGCTCTCGAGTTGAAATCAGAGATATCCCTGCAATGGAGAGAGACCGAGTGTGTTCATTAAAATGTAAAGCGTTATAAAACTATGAGACACTGCAAGCTCTGCGGAGGGTGGTATAAGGATACAAAATTATCTTGATAAATTGAAAAAATGCTGAAGTGAATGGGATGTGAGTCTATAAGCACAAGCACAAAGCACAAGAGCAGCCACAGCCACTGCACAAAACCAAGAATGGAAACGACTGATAGGCAGCAATCTCTCCGAAAGGTATTTTGTAGATATAGAGGCTGACAAAGGTAATACAAATCAATAATATCTTGCTGTTGTAATCAAAGCAAACATCATACTTGGATACGTAAATACAAATATTTCTCAAAAATTTTTCACTTGCATCTCCTTTCACTAGATGAAATGAGACAGTGTCCTTCAACCCTGTTTGGAGATTTAAGTATAAAGCCAACTACATTTACTCCCAAATGTACCTTGCCTACATATTCTAAAGTGTAAAATGAGAAATTTTTTAATCAGAATAGCTGAAGTCACTGGAAGCAAATGACATGCATCTCTATATTGGATTCAATTTTCTTTTAAAGATAAGATTTGAAATAAATGCTATCTAAAAAGGAGTGGATGAACCTAGGCATGCAAATGTGAAAGATTAAAGCAAGGACATCTGATGAGGATTACAAGGCCAAAATCATGGTGTAACCACTGAAAGGAAGTAGGTAAAAGGGGATCAAACTAGGGGAACTTGGCATAACAGTCCTCATGAAAACAAATGGCAGCTGCTAAACTGCATTTAGTAGATACACATTACATAGCATAAAGCACTCCCTAAGGTTTCATAAGCCCTGACACAGTCTGCCTGAGGAATCTGTGTTTTCAGAAGTTTTAAAAGCAGGTCACCATTTTTGCTGCATAGTCCAAAAGCCCAAAGAAGACAATGACTGTGATGTAAGGGTACCTCTGGTCTGGCTTTTGGGAGCGGACTGAACAGGGGGTAGAGGAAAGGCTGCAGTGCTGCTTTCCCACCTGGATTGTCCAACACGTCAGTGCTCCTGGCCCTGGGAAGGAAGATCCAGGCTGGTCCTGCCTCCACCCTGTTCAGTCATTGTCCCCTACATGACTTTTAGGATTCAATAAAAATCTGCCTTTTCATATCTGAAGAGAAAAAGGAAAGGTGCTCAGCAGCATTCACATCCTCCTCTCTGCATTGTGCTTGTGGCTTCTTGGCATGGG